CGAGCTTTTTTTGCGTTATTTTCGAGTTTTTTCGTATTAAAGCTTAAAGTGCGAAATAAAAAGCTGAACCGTGTAATCGAACGTATCAAAAGATAGAGAAAATTTTACTCTATCAGATGAGACATACCTGATCTCTGTGCAGCAAGTCTTTTGGTTTTTGTGAGAACTTTACAAACCGAGCCTGACCGATCCTAGGCTCGGTGCTCGGGCTCGGTCAGGCTCGGTCTAGACATTTTTTTGCACTGCAAATAAAAATTAGAATAACTGCAACACAGAACTCCGAAACGTCTCATTTTGTAGAGAAATGTTTTGTCTATCTATTAATAGGTTCGGCCACAAGATTCAGCCTTTCATTTGAGAGCTCAAGCTTGTAATATAAAAGTGTTGAAAAATAACGAAACAAAGCTCGGTACATGCCTAGGTCCAACTATTATACATATGTTCTTATTCTTTTCTTTTTCTATTCATCTGTTGTATGTATGCTCTTTTTCGTCTTACTCACTTGTTCTAACTGACGTCTTTGTTGAGTAAGAAGAACCATTGTCTTTTTCTTTCTATTGTTCATTTTCTAAACAGACGGACGAAGCTTCTTGACTTTTTCTCTAGTGCGTCTATTGTCTTTCTCCTATGTATATATACTTGCTGTTTTCTTCAATAAAGGGATCAGATATTCATTCATTCAAAAAGTGATATATATGTAACTGGGCGCCTGACCAGCTTGTTGTCAAGTCAATATCACAACAAGAGATACCGGATACAAATTCACTAAGAAACTTAATACACATTGAATGCCAGAGACTAGAACAACTCGCAATTTGAAACATACATCTATTCGTGATCATTTATTAAATAATAAAACCTGCATATATTCAACAATCGATCATACTCCGGAAAAAACCATGCTCGATACTAAACATTTATCAATTACTTCTGCTAATGCACTACACCACGATCAAAAAACTTCAACTAATAATGATGATCAACATTTCTTAATTGAAGCATCAAATGATTCAATACAGTCCATTGACAATAATCAACAAAAACTAGCACGAATACCATCGCGTGCTAATCAATATTCTTCAACTCAAACAACAGGTGACACATGTCAACATATGATGAAAAATGCAATTGAATCATCAACAATACATCTTTAACAAGACATTGTGGATAACTTTGTAACATTTTCAGGAAAAAAAGGTGAAGATGCAGGAAAATGGCTAGATCATATTTTTGAAGTTATTGAACAACAAGAATTAACACTAAGTGAACAACGTGATATAGCTGCAAGAAGATTAACTGATGATGCTTTATTATGGTATCGTCTTAATCGTCTAAAAATGCCTGATATGCAATGTTTTATTTAACACTTTTTACTCACTTAT